GCAGCAGCTGGTTGGGAGGTCACTGGAGGTCTGGGCTGGATCCTTGAACTGAATTTGATATTATTAGGGCCTGTTGTATTTTATTACTCCCTAGCACAATGAGAGCGGTGGAGTGGAGTCAATGGGGCGAATGGATGGCAAACTTTTGCAGGGCTCTCCAGCAGCTGGAACGCCGAGGGATGAAACCTTGGTGAAAGGCCACATGCCAGGGCTGGGCATCCACCCGCACCCCAGGACCATACAGCAGAGACCCTGCCCATGCCCAAGCACCATGGCTTATGGTGCAGAGCCACTGCTTTGGGGGAGCATGCAGGTTTTTTCCCAGTGCATCCCGCTGCCCGTGGCACCGCACCCCTTCCCTTCCTCCTCCATCTCATCCCATCCCTCCCTCCAGGGCCCAGGTACATGGCAGATCTGCCTTCGCGCTGGCTAGGGCACAGAGCAGGTGGTGGGAGGGGGGACTGTGTTGAAAGACTGAGTCACACACCTAGCCCAGGAGACAGGTCATGGCTGTGTCACCCGACTTGGAACAGCCTAACACAAAGCAGAACCAAGAGCACCCTAGAAGTAAGGAAACACGTGCAGGGCTTTGCAGGCAGGCTGGAGCGACTCAGGCACTTATGCAGGTCTGTAAAGGCCCTTTCCAGCCAGCAAACTTGAACTGGACTTAGTGTGCGTTTCAGTTGTGGAGGGGAGTTGAGGTGGCCTTACCCGGCTTGCAAAATGGCACAAGCACTTCTTTGCTGGGAGGCGGGACAGGCGTTTGCGTAGGAAGCTGCCTCCTTTCACACTAGATGGCGCAGGGCGCCGTGTCAGCTCACACAACCACCCCCACGACAGTATTCTGTCGAGATCCCCAGCAACTCAAAGCCTTAGAGCCACCACCGCAGCACAGAATAGAACAAATTATGAAGATCCCGGCTACTAAGTGACGCTGCTGTGACAAACAAGACAGTCTGTAAGAACAAAGAATATCCTTTATTATACTGCTGTAGCTAGGAAACAACAGACCTGTTTTGGAGTGCATAAACCCTCCCCTTCAGGTTCCTACAAATCTTCTCACTAAAAAAAAAACCCAAACCCTTGCATTTCTAAAACTCCATTTTCCCAGTTATGTCTTCTGGCCTGATAAAATACATTGCCTTTTCCCATGCCCATTGTCTTGTTGATAGTGGTAACTTGGCTCATGAACAATTATAGCACCTCTACTACAGTAACAACGTTAAACTCCATAACTCAGCAGCTGCTAGGCAGGCATCGCAATGCTGGAAGCTTTGCAGCCTTCAGAAATAGTTCTCAAATAATCCTGTGCAAAAATCTCCAGAAACAGGAGAGAATGTGATGGTGGGAAAAGGAATATACGTGCCAGGTAGATGCCCAGTGCTCAGAGCTGTTTTGGCAATCACATACTTAGTGTTCACAAACTTACACAGCATTACCCTAAGCCTGTAACCTGCCGCTTGACCTGATCCAAACCTGCCCTTTTTCCCCAGTTTGCCAAAGGATTGTGAGCAAATCTGACTGGGGCAACAGAGAATTTTTCTCTCAGTGGCACTGTAAAAAGAGCTTGGCTTACTTGTTTGTAATTATGGGGATACCCCCTCAGAGGCTCTCAGAATTGACATCACAGCACTTAAAGGGTGTTCATGCAGAAGTCGCTGCAGTTTTTCTGTGGTTTTGGTTGGGTTGTTTGCTGTGTAACCATTCCTCTATGTAGCTAATCTATGGTGCTTATAGTGCATGAATAAATCTACCTCACTTCTTCAGAGATGCCAATTTTGCTTTACAGGTGATTGAATCTGCTCTTAAAAATCCCAACCCTTTTCTGTATAGCAAAGGATAAACCAAAGTATGCATTAGGTTGCCAATATATAATCCAAATAACAATTAAAAAGTATGTATTAGCAGTAGGTTCCTTCAAATATCCACTGAGAAGCTAGTAACTGTCATGATCATTAGATTGCTATATTTGTAACTTCTAAAGGAGAAACATAAGGCACAGCTGATTTGGCCAACAATGTGTAGCGCCATCATCACATGACACATGAGGGTGGGCTGGGATAGAAGGCCCTTGTAAAGGAGTATCAGGCTGCCTGTGCAGAGCCAAAATACAAATTCTTGACAAACAATCCAAATTTTAGCAATAGCTACAAATAGTATAGAGCAGAGGAAAGAGGAGTGAATGAGTATAATAACACCATTAGATGGTTCTTCAGTGTCATGTTGTGCTGTTCTCCTAAAAGAAAAATGTCTAATGGAGTAGATCCTAGAGGAACAAAACAGTTACGCAGCAAATATGGCTCCTATTCTTTAGGTGTCAACATTAGATTCATCCACTGTAGCGGTGGATGTCAGACCCTACTATACACAGTCCATTGGGAGGGAAGTAATCACAGTACAGCACACAAAGACAACAAGATGGCAAATTTGATGTAAATTTCATTAAAAAGCATACAAGCCTGGTGGCAATCTTCCGGTTTTCCTAGGACAAGCTTCGATATCTCTATTAATTCTAACAACAATAAATGGAGAACACTTAACTGCGGAAAAAAGCGCTTTATTTTCACAATTTGCAATAGAGCAAAAAGATAATTTGGGAAATAGACAAAGTGACATGTTTAGCCAAGTCTCCCTGAAAAAGGAGAATTCATCATCCCACTATCACAGGTAATTATTCAGGACCACATTTTTCCAACTTCGTACATCATCTCTGGAATGTGCAGAGGTTCAAGATACATGTGTGCCAGTGCAGTGGGGTCTGGTAAAACTGCAGTCACGCACCACAAGCCTCTATCCGTCCAGGCAGCGCGAACTTGCCTACAGCTGCCGGCTGGAGCTTCAGCTTTAGGGTCACTTGCAGAAGCCCGCTTCGCATTAGCTCTCCACACCCATCCAATTGCACCACACAGGCAAAGTCAACTTCGCTCCCTACGCTACACCAAACTTGTACCTGTCCAAACAACAACTGTCCAACATCTACCTTCAAACCATCCACGGTTCGTCCTCTCACACTAAACTGCTTCCCTACTCGCTCTACGCCACCTCCTGGACCAGCCTTCACAAAGGAATCCGCTCGTCCTGCAAGAATGCTCCAACATCAGACAACGCCAACGTGAACACTTCCACAACAACACTCCAGCGTCAGACAGCTCCTGCATGAAAAACCTCGCTCTCTCCTTAAGAGCCCACCCTACGCTACCCGACGACCAACACACACTGGCCTCACCAAAGCCAAACACTACAACAACTAGTGCCAAGTTAAAATCGCATCTGCAGCGCAATGTCGTAGGTGTGAGCTAAGGCACAAGCGGGCTTGAAAGTTGCAGAGTGTACCCCCTATGGTGCACAATGGCATTTTCTTGGGGAATCGGTGCTCTCCCTGGACAAGTGGAGAAGCAGCAGCTGTTGAAAGGAAACGTGGCAATGGTTCTCCAGGTCTCCCAAGCTGAGGCTAACAAATTTTACCTGTGCTGTGCCCCAGGATCTGCTTGTCCACTTGCTCCTCTAACCAGTCAGGTGCTGCAGGAGAGACAGAAAGAGAGGGAGAAATCTTTAGGACAGGATTAACGACCTCAACATCCCTGTCCCCAAGCCTCCAGACATCCGAGGAGGCCTCATCAGGGTTTTCTCAATTTCCCCACTTTCCTGGCAGACGTGACTGCACAGTTTTCTGTCCTCAATATCTCCTTGACCCACCTGATATGCTTCAAGGTTCCGAACCCTGCATCCCTTCCTCGAGGTACCTCAGCAATTCCCTTAGAAACCACACCTCAGTGCCACCCCTCCCTCAACTACCTCAGCGATTCCTGACAAAGCCCCCCCCCGGTCCCATCCCCTCCCCAAGGTACCTCAGTGTTCCTGGCTGAAGCCTCTGTGCTGTCGTCCCCTCCCTGAGGTATATCAGGCGTCCTACCTGAAGCTAACTCTTCACTCACAGGTCCAGGGCCGTGCAATTCTTTCTTCCTCCCTCTTGACTCGCAGGTCCAGCGCCGTCCTCTTCTTTCTTCCTCCCTCTTGACTCGCAGGTCCATCGCCGTCTTCTTCTTTCTTCCTCACCTTTGACACTCAGGCCCAGCGCCGCCCTCTTCTTTCTTCCTCCCTCTTGACTCGCAGGTCCATCGCCGTCTTCTTCTTTCTTCCTCACCTTTGACACTCAGGCCCAGCGCCGTCCTCTTCTTTCTTCCTCCCTCTTGACTCGCAGGTCCAGCGCCGTCCTCTTCTTTCTTCCTCCCTCGTGACTCGCAGATCCAGCGCCGTCCTCTTCTTTCTTCCTCACCCTTGACTCGCAGGTCCAGCGCCGTCCTCTTCTTTCTTGCTCCCTCTTGACTCGCAGGTCCAGCGCCGTCCTCTTCTTTCTTCCTCACGCTTGACTCGCAGGTCCAGCGCCGCCCTCTTCTTTCTTCCTCCCTCTTGACTCGCAGGCCCATCGCCGTCTTCTTCTTTCTTCCCCACCTTTGACACTCAGGCCCAGCGCCGTCCTCTTCTTTCTTCCTCCCTCTTGACTCGCAGGTCCAGCGCCGTCCTCTTCTTTCTTTCTCACCCTTGACTCGCAGATCCAGCGTCGTCCTCTTCTTTCTTCCTCCCTCTTGACTCGCAGGTCCAGCGCCGTCCTCTTCTTTCTTGCTCCCTCTTGACTCGCAGGCCCAGCGCCGTCCTCTTCTTTCTTCCTCCCTCTTGACTCGCAGGTCGAGCGCCGTCCTCTTCTTTCTTCCTCCCTCTTGACTCGCAGGTCCAGCGCCGTCCTCTTCTTTCTTCCTCACCCTTGACTCGCAGGTCCAGCGCCGTCCTCTTCTTTCTTCCTCACCCTTGTCTCGCAGATCCAGCGTCGTCCTCTTCTTTCTTCCTCACCCTTGACTCACAGGTCCAGCGCCGTCCTCTTCTTTCTTCCTCCCTCTTCACTGGCAGGCCCAGCGCCGTCCTCTTCTTTCTTCCTCCCTCTCGACTCGCAGGTCCAGCACCGTCCTCTTATTTCTTCCTCACCCTTGACTCGCAGGTCCAGCGCCGTCCTCTTCTGCCTTGCTTTCTTCTTTGCGAGCTGCTCTACCCCAAGAGAGACAAACACACGACTGAGCCACACCAACCCAGGGCACCTACAGCCAGGTGGGGGCTGAGGCTGGGCGCTGACACCGCCCCGCACCCCACAGCAAGGCCACCTTGCCTTCTTGCCCCCTGGCCCCTGCACAGCCCTTGCCACCAGCTCCGTCCCTTCGCAACAGCACAGCTGCCTGGCAGCTGCCCTGCAAAGACTTTCTTTGCCAGTTGGCCCCTGGCACTCAGTGCAACAACCGCACCAACTTCAAGACCCCGGCGAGACCAGAGCTGGCGGGCCCTCGCCCAGGCGGGATCCTCTTCCCCCACCTTTAGCTGACCCTTTCTGGGGGCTGGATGACAGAGGGAATCTCCCGAGAGATGTCCGCCCCCCTCCCCGACCCACTCGGGGGCCCAAAAGCCCGCCTCCCCTGCTCCCAGACCACCCCACCTCCCCAACCCCAGCCAACAGACCCTGCTCCCAGCTTACCAGCAGCCGCGGCTGAAGCCCTGGCTCGGGCCGGCGGACGCCACCTTGGCCGCGGAGGTCTGGGCCTCTGGGCACAGTTTCTAGGGGTGGAAGGGAGGGAGCAGCCCCAGGAAAAAGCTTCTGCCCTCCTTAGAGGGTTCTCCTCCTGGCCCGCTTGCTACAACAGCCCCAAGGGCAAAGCAGGGGACTTTCCTCACCCCAACTTACAGGGCTGTCCCCGCGGCTCCGTCCAGCAAAGGGCACCCCGCCTCTCTCTGGGGAGCAGTGGCGCCCCACGGCATGCACCCCGATGACGGGGCTGCCAGGCTGGCTGGCTGGCCAACACGGCATGAAGCCGCCAGGCAGAGCGCCAAACCCTCACAGCAGGGTCGGCTCGGGGGCTCCAAAGGCTCCGCAGCTCCCATCCAGGAGAGCCTTGCGGCACAAAGCCCGCTTCCAGGGGGCCAGCAGCGGGGCACCAGGGCCCTGGGTCCTCAGCCCTGGCTACAGGGAGCTCGAGGGGCTGCTGGCACAAAACGGCTCCCCCAAAATGCACGAGCATCAGCAAACACACTCTCTCAGCAGCACACAAGGCAGCCAAACAGCCAGCCAGCCAGCCAGCGGAGCCTGGTGGCCAAAGGCCAGAAGAGCAGGCACCCCAGCCCCGCTTACGGGGCGGCTGCTCAGCTCCAGGGAAGCAGGAGGCCCACAAGGGCCAGGGATGCTCGTGCCCCACCTGAGCCCTGATTACAGGGAGGTGCCTGTGCCCAAAGGGATGTTCCCTCCTCCCTGGCTCCGCCGGCCCATCTTCCTCCTCCCTCTTGACTCGCAGGTCCAGCGCCGTCCTCTTCTGCCTTGCTTTCTTCTTTGCGAGCTGCTCTACCCCAAGAGAGACAAACACACGACTGAGCGACACCAACCCAGGGCACCTACAGCCAGGTGGGGGCTGAGGCTGGGCGCTGACACCGCCCCGCACCCCACAGCAAGGCCACCTTGCCTTCTTGCCCCCTGGCCCCTGCACAGCCCTTGCCACCAGCTCCGTCCCTTCGCAACAGCACAGCTGCCTGGCAGCTGCCCTGCAAAGACTTTCTTTGCCAGTTGGCCCCTGGCACTCAGTGCAACAACCGCACCAACTTCAAGACCCCGGCGAGACCAGAGCTGGCGGGCCCTCGCCCAGGCGGGATCCTCTTCCCCCACCTTTAGCTGACCCTTTCTGGGGGCTGGATGACAGAGGGAATCTCCCGAGAGATGTCCGCCCCCCTCCCCGACCCACTCGGGGGCCCAAAAGCCCGCCTCCCCTGCTCCCAGACCACCCCACCTCCCCAACCCCAGCCAACAGACCCTGCTCCCAGCTTACCAGCAGCCGCGGCTGAAGCCCTGGCTCGGGCCGGCGGACGCCACCTTGGCCGCGGAGGTCTGGGCCTCTGGGCACAGTTTCTAGGGGTGGAAGGGAGGGAGCAGCCCCAGGAAAAAGCTTCTGCCCTCCTTAGAGGGTTCTCCTCCTGGCCCGCTTGCTACAACAGCCCCAAGGGCAAAGCAGGGGACTTTCCTCACCCCAACTTACAGGGCTGTCCCCGCGGCTCCGTCCAGCAAAGGGCACCCCGCCTCTCTCTGGGGAGCAGTGGCGCCCCACGGCATGCACCCCGATGACGGGGCTGCCAGGCTGGCTGGCTGGCCAACACGGCATGAAGCCGCCAGGCAGAGCGCCAAACCCTCACAGCAGGGTCGGCTCGGGGGCTCCAAAGGCTCCGCAGCTCCCATCCAGGAGAGCCTTGCGGCACAAAGCCCGCTTCCAGGGGGCCAGCAGCGGGGCACCAGGGCCCTGGGTCCTCAGCCCTGGCTACAGGGAGCTCGAGGGGCTGCTGGCACAAAACGGCTCCCCCAAAATGCACGAGCATCAGCAAACACACTCTCTCAGCAGCACACAAGGCAGCCAAACAGCCAGCCAGCCAGCCAGCGGAGCCTGGTGGCCAAAGGCCAGAAGAGCAGGCACCCCAGCCCCGCTTACGGGGCGGCTGCTCAGCTCCAGGGAAGCAGGAGGCCCACAAGGGCCAGGGATGCTCGTGCCCCACCTGAGCCCTGATTACAGGGAGGTGCCTGTGCCCAAAGGGATGTTCCCTCCTCCCTGGCTCCGCCGGCCCATCTTCCTCCTCCCTCTTGACTCGCAGGTCCAGCACCGTCCTCTTCTGCCTTGCTTTCTTCTTTGCGAGCTGCTCCATCCCAAGAGAGACAAACGGACGACTGAGCGACGCCAACCCCAGGCCCCTACAGCCCCCTGGGGGCTGACGCCGCCCCGCACCCCACAGCAAGGACACCTTGCCTTCTCGGACCCTGCTCCCCATACAGGCCCTCCCCCCAACTCTGCCCCTCTGCTGCAGCAGAGCTTCCCAGCACACCCCTCACAAAGCACTTCTCGCGCTGAACCCCAGCTTCACCTGTTAGAAATTGCCACAGCTCAACACCAACTGCCACGCTCCTTACCTGTGGTTTGCGGAGCTGCAAGCTTGCTGTGCTTCACTCCACTAGCCGTGCACGGCCCTCTTCCGCCCGTCCAGGCAGCGCGAACTTGCCTACAGCTGCCGGCTGGAGCTTCAGCTTTAGGGTCACTTGCAGAAGCCCGCTTCGCATTAGCTCTCCACACCCATCCAATTGCACCACACAGGCAAAGTCAACTTCGCTCCCTACGCTACACCAAACTTGTACCTGTCCAAACAACAACTGTCCAACATCTACCTTCAAACCATCCACGGTTCGTCCTCTCACACTAAACTGCTTCCCTACTCGCTCTACGCCACCTCCTGGACCAGCCTTCACAAAGGAATCCGCTCGTCCTGCAAGAATGCTCCAACATCAGACAACGCCAACGTGAACACTTCCACAACAACACTCCAGCGTCAGACAGCTCCTGCATGAAAAACCTCGCTCTCTCCTTAAGAGCCCACCCTACGCTACCCGACGACCAACACACACTGGCCTCACCAAAGCCAAACACTACAACAACTAGTGCCAAGTTAAAATCGCATCTGCAGCGCAATGTCGTAGGTGTGAGCTAAGGCACAAGCGGGCTTGAAAGTTGCAGAGTGTACCCCCTATGGTGCACAATGGCATTTTCTTGGGGAATCGGTGCTCTCCCTGGACAAGTGGAGAAGCAGCGGCTGTTGAAAGGAAACGTGGCAATGGTTCTCCAGGTCTCCCAAGCTGAGGCTAACAAATTTTACCTGTGCTGTGCCCCAGGATCTGCTTGTCCACTTGCTCCTCTAACCAGTCAGGTGCTGCAGGAGAGACAGAAAGAGAGGGAGAAATCTTTAGGACAGGATTAACGACCTCAACATCCCTGTCCCCAAGCCTCCAGACATCCGAGGAGGCCTCATCAGGGTTTTCTCAATTTCCCCACTTTCCTGGGAGGCATGACTGCACAGTTTTCTGTCCTCAATATCTCCTTGACCCACCTGATATGCTTCAAGGTTCCGAACCCTGCATCCCTTCCTCGAGGTACCTCAGCAATTCCCTTAGAAACCACACCTCAGTGCCACCCCTCCCTCAACTACCTCAGCGATTCCTGACAAAGCCCCCCCCCGGTCCCATCCCCTCCCCAAGGTACCTCAGTGTTCCTGGCTGAAGCCTCTGTGCTGTCGTCCCCTCCCTGAGGTATATCAGGCGTCCTACCTGAAGCTAACTCTTCACTCACAGGTCCAGGGCCGTGCAATTCTTTCTTCCTCCCTCTTGACTCGCAGGTCCAGCGCCGTCCTCTTCTTTCTTGCTCCCTCTTGACTCGCAGGCCCAGCGCCGTCCTCTTCTTTCTTCCTCCCTCTTGACTCGCAGGTCCAGCACCCGTCTTCTTCTTTCTTCCTCACCTTTGACACTCAGGCCCAGCGCCGTCATCTTCTTTCTTCCTCCCTCTTGACTCGCAGGTCCAGCGCCGTCCTCTTCTTTCTTCCTCCCTCTTGACTCGCAGGTCCAGCGCCGTCCTCTTCTTTCTTCCACCCTCTTGACTCGCAGGTCCAGCGCCGTCCTCTTCTTTCTTCCTCCCTCTTGACTCGCAGGTCCAGCGCCGTTCTCTTCTTTCTTCCTCCCTCTTGACTCGCAGGTCCATCGCCGTCCTCTTCTTTCTTCCTCCCTCTTGACTCGCAGGTCCAGCGCCGTCCTCTTCTTTCTTCCTCACCCTTGACTCGCAGGTCCAGCGCCGTCCTCTTCTTTCTTCCTCACCCTTGTCTCGCAGATCCAGCGTCGTCCTCTTCTTTCTTCCTCACCCTTGACTCACAGGTCCAGCGCCGTCCTCTTCTTTCTTCCTCCCTCTTCACTGGCAGGTCCAGCGCCATCCTCTTCTTTCTTCCTCACCTTTGACACTCAGGCCCAGCGCCGTCCTCTTCTTTCTTCCACCCTCATGACTCGCAGGTCGAGTGCCGTCCTCTTCTTTCTTCCTCCCTCTTGACTCGCAGGTCCAGCGCCGTCCTCTTCTTTCTTCCTCCCTCTTGACTTGCACGTCCGGCACCGTCCTCTTCTTTCTTCCTCACCCTTGACTCGCAGGTCCAGCGCCGTCCTCTTCTTTCTTCCTCACCCTTGACTCGCAGGTCCAGCGCCGTCCTCTTCTTTCTTGCTCCCTCTTGACTCGCACGTCCAGCGCCGTCCTGTTCTTTCTTCCTCCCTCTTGACTCGCAGGTCCAGCACCGTCCTCTTCTTTCTTTCTCCCTCTTGACTCGCAGGTCCAGCGCCGTCCTCTTCTTTCTTCCTCCCTCTTGACTCGCAGGTCCAGCGCCGTCCTCTTCTTTCTTCCTCCCTCTTGACTCGCAGGTCCAGCGCCGTCCTCTTCTTTCTTCCTCCCTCTCGACTCGCAGGTCCAGCACCGTCCTCTTATTTCTTCCTCACCCTTGACTCGCAGGTCCAGCGCCGTCCTCTTCTGCCTTGCTTTCTTCTTTGCGAGCTGCTCTACCCCAAGAGAGACAAACACACGACTGAGCGACACCAACCCAGGGCACCTACAGCCAGGTGGGGGCTGAGGCTGGGCGCTGACACTGCCCTGCACCCCACAGCAAGGCCACCTTGCCTTCTTGCCCCCTGGCCCCTGCACAGCCCTTGCCACCAGCTCCGTCCCTTCGCAACAGCACAGCTGCCTGGCAGCTGCCCTGCAAAGACTTTCTTTGCCAGTTGGCCCCTGGCACTCAGTGCAACAACCGCACCAACTTCAAGACCCCGGCGAGACCAGAGCTGGCGGGCCCTCGCCCAGGCGGGATCCTCTTCCCCCACCTTTAGCTGACCCTTTCTGGGGCTGGATGACAGAGGGAATCTCCCGAGAGATGTCCGCCCCCCTCCCCGACCCACTCAGGGGCCAAAAGCCCGCCTCCCCTGCTCCCAGACCACCCCACCTCCCCAACCCCAGCCAACAGACCCTGCTCCCAGCTTACCAGCAGCCGCGGCTGAAGCCCTGGCTCGGGCCGGCGGACGCCACCTTGGCCGCGGAGGTCTGGGCCTCTGGGCACAGTTTCTAGGGGTGGAAGGGAGGGAGCAGCCCCAGGAAAAAGCTTCTGCCCTCCTTAGAGGGTTCTCCTCCTGGCCCGCTTGCTACAACAGCCCCAAGGGCAAAGCAGGGGACTTTCCTCACCCCAACTTACAGGGCTGTCCCCGCGGCTCCGTCCAGCAAAGGGCACCCCGCCTCTCTCTGGGGAGCAGTGGCGCCCCACGGCATGCACCCCGATGACGGGGCTGCCAGGCTGGCTGGCTGGCCAACACGGCATGAAGCCGCCAGGCAGAGCGCCAAACCCTCACAGCAGGGTCGGCTCGGGGGCTCCAAAGGCTCCGCAGCTCCCATCCAGGAGAGCCTTGCGGCACAAAGCCCGCTTCCAGGGGGCCAGCAGCGGGGCACCAGGGCCCTGGGTCCTCAGCCCTGGCTACAGGGAGCTCGAGGGGCTGCTGGCACAAAACGGCTCCCCCAAAATGCACGAGCATCAGCAAACACACTCTCTCAGCAGCACACAAGGCAGCCAAACAGCCAGCCAGCCAGCCAGCGGAGCCTGGTGGCCAAAGGCCAGAAGAGCAGGCACCCCAGCCCCGCTTACGGGGCGGCTGCTCAGCTCCAGGGAAGCAGGAGGCCCACAAGGGCCAGGGATGCTCGTGCCCCACCTGAGCCCTGATTACAGGGAGGTGCCTGTGCCCAAAGGGATGTTCCCTCCTCCCTGGCTCCGCCGGCCCATCTTCCTCCTCCCTCTTGACTCGCAGGTCCAGCGCCGTCCTCTTCTGCCTTGCTTTCTTCTTTGCGAGCTGCTCCATCCCAAGAGAGACAAACGGACGACTGAGCGACGCCAACCCCAGGCCCCTACAGCCCCCTGGGGGCTGACGCCGCCCCGCACCCCACAGCAAGGACACCTTGCCTTCTCGGACCCTGCTCCCCATACAGGCCCTCCCCCCAACTCTGCCCCTCTGCTGCAGCAGAGCTTCCCAGCACACCCCTCACAAAGCACTTCTCGCGCTGAACCCCAGCTTCACCTGTTAGAAATTGCCACAGCTCAACACCAACTGCCACGCTCCTTACCTGTGGTTTGCGGAGCTGCAAGCTTGCTGTGCTTCACTCCACTAGCCGTGCACGGCCCTCTTCCGCCCGTCCAGGCAGCGCGAACTTGCCTACAGCTGCCGGCTGGAGCTTCAGCTTTAGGGTCACTTGCAGAAGCCCGCTTCGCATTAGCTCTCCACACCCATCCAATTGCACCACACAGGCAAAGTCAACTTCGCTCCCTACGCTACACCAAACTTGTACCTGTCCAAACAACAACTGTCCAACATCTACCTTCAAACCATCCACGGTTCGTCCTCTCACACTAAACTGCTTCCCTACTCGCTCTACGCCACCTCCTGGACCAGCCTTCACAAAGGAATCCGCTCGTCCTGCAAGAATGCTCCAACATCAGACAACGCCAACGTGAACACTTCCACAACAACACTCCAGCGTCAGACAGCTCCTGCATGAAAAACCTCGCTCTCTCCTTAAGAGCCCACCCTACGCTACCCGACGACCAACACACACTGGCCTCACCAAAGCCAAACACTACAACAACTAGTGCCAAGTTAAAATCGCATCTGCAGTGCAATGTCGTAGGTGTGAGCTAAGGCACAAGCGGGCTTGAAAGTTGCAGAGTGTACCCCCTATGGTGCACAATGGCATTTTCTTGGGGAATCGGTGCTCTCCCTGGACAAGTGGAGAAGCAGCGGCTGTTGAAAGGAAACGTGGCAATGGTTCTCCAGGTCTCCCAAGCTGAGGCTAACAAATTTTACCTGTGCTGTGCCCCAGGATCTGCTTGTCCACTTGCTCCTCTAACCAGTCAGGTGCTGCAGGAGAGACAGAAAGAGAGGGAGAAATCTTTAGGACAGGATTAACGACCTCAACATCCCTGTCCCCAAGCCTCCAGACATCCGAGGAGGCCTCATCAGGGTTTTCTCAATTTCCCCACTTTCCTGGGAGGCATGACTGCACAGTTTTCTGTCCTCAACATCTCCTTGACCCACCTGATATGCTTCAAGGTTCCGAACCCTGCATCCCTTCCTCGAGGTACCTCAGCAATTCCCTTAGAAACCACACCTCAGTGCCACCCCTCCCTCAACTACCTCAGCGATTCCCGACAAAGCCCCCCCCCGGTCCCATCCCCTCCCCAAGGTACCTCAGTGTTACTGGCAGAAGCCTCTGTGCTGTCGTCCCCTCGCTCAGGTATATCAGGCTTGCTAGCTGAAGCTAACTCTTCACTCACAGGTCCAGGGCCGTGCAATTCTTTCTTCCTCCCTCTTGACTTGCATGTCCGGCACCGTCCTCTTCTTTCTTCCTCTCTCTTGACTCGCAGGTCCAGCGCCGTCCCCTTCTTTCTTCCTCCCTCTTGACTCTCAGGTCCAGTGCCGTTGTCTTCTTTCTTCCTCACCCTTGACTCGCAGGCCCAGCGTTGTCCTCTTCTTTCTTCCTCACCCTTGACTCACAGGTCCACCGCCTTCCTCTTCTTTCTTCCTCACCCTTGACTCGCAGGTCCAGCGCCGTCCTCTTCTTTCTTCCTCCCTCTTGACTCGCAGGTCCAGCGTCGTCCTCTTCTTTCTTCCTCCCTCTTCACTCGCAGGTCCACCGCCGTCCTCTTCTTTCTTCCTCCCTCTTGACTCGCAGGTCCAGCACTGTCCTCTTCTTTCTTCCTCACCCTTGACTCTCAGGTCCAGTTCCGTTGTCTTCTTTCTTCCTCACCCTTGACTCGCAGGTCCAGCGCCGTCCTCTTCTTTCTTGCTCCCTCTTGACTCGCAGGCCCAGCGCCGTCCTCTTCTTTCTTCCTCACCCTTGACTCGCAGGTCCAGCACCGTCCTCTTCTTTCTTCCTCACCCTTGACTCGCAGGTCCAGCGCCGTCCTCTTCTGCCTTGCTTTCTTCTTTGCGAGCTGCTCTACCCCAAGAGAGACAAACACACGACTGAGCGACACCAACCCAGGGCACCTACAGCCAGGTGGGGGCTGAGGCTGGGCGCTGACACCGCCCCGCACCCCACAGCAAGGCCACCTTGCCTTCTTGCCCCCTGGCCCCTGCACAGCCCTTGCCACCAGCTCCGTCCCTTCGCAACAGCACAGCTGCCTGGCAGCTGCCCTGCAAAGACTTTCTTTGCCAGTTGGCCCCTGGCACTCAGTGCAACAACCGCACCAACTTCAAGACCCCGGCGAGACCAGAGCTGGCGGGCCCTCGCCCAGGCGGGATCCTCTTCCCCCACCTTTAGCTGACCCTTTCTGGGGGCTGGATGACAGAGGGAATCTCCCGAGAGATGTCCGCCCCCCTCCCCGACCCACTCGGGGGCCCAAAAGCCCGCCTCCCCTGCTCCCAGACCACCCCACCTCCCCAACCCCAGCCAACAGACCCTGCTCCCAGCTTACCAGCAGCCGCGGCTGAAGCCCTGGCTCGGGCCGGCGGACGCCACCTTGGCCGCGGAGGTCTGGGCCTCTGGGCACAGTTTCTAGGGGTGGAAGGGAGGGAGCAGCCCCAGGAAAAAGCTTCTGCCCTCCTTAGAGGGTTCTCCTCCTGGCCCGCTTGCTACAACAGCCCCAAGGGCAAAGCAGGGGACTTTCCTCACCCCAACTTACAGGGCTGTCCCCGCGGCTCCGTCCAGCAAAGGGCACCCCGCCTCTCTCTGGGGAGCAGTGGCGCCCCACGGCATGCACCCCGATGACGGGGCTGCCAGGCTGGCTGGCTGGCCAACACGGCATGAAGCCGCCAGGCAGAGCGCCAAACCCTCACAGCAGGGTCGGCTCGGGGGCTCCAAAGGCTCCGCAGCTCCCATCCAGGAGAGCCTTGCGGCACAAAGCCCGCTTCCAGGGGGCCAGCAGCGGGGCACCAGGGCCCTGGGTCCTCAGCCCTGGCTACAGGGAGCTCGAGGGGCTGCTGGCACAAAACGGCTCCCCCAAAATGCACGAGCATCAGCAAACACGCTCTCTCAGCAGCACACAAGGCAGCCAAACAGCCAGCCAGCCAGCCAGCGGAGCCTGGTGGCCAAAGGCCAGAAGAGCAGGCACCCCAGCCCCGCTTACGGGGCGGCTGCTCAGCTCCAGGGAAGCAGGAGGCCCACAAGGGCCAGGGATGCTCGTGCCCCACCTGAGCCCTGATTACAGGGAGGTGCCTGTGCCCAAAGGGATGTTCCCTCCTCCCTGGCTCCGCCAGCCCATCTTCCTCCTCCCGCTTGACTCGCAGGTCCAGCGCCATCCTCTTCTTTCCTCCTCCCTCTTGACTCGCAGTTCCAGCGCCGTCCTCTTCTTTCTTCCTCACCCTTGACTCGTAGGTCCAGCGCCGTCCTCTTCTTTCTTCCTCCCTCTTGACTCGCAGGTCCAGCACTGTCCTCTTCTTTCTTTCTCCCTCTTGACTCGCAGGTCCAGCGCCGTCCTCTTCTTTCTTCCTCCCTCTTGACTCGCAGGTCCAGCGCCGTCCTCTTCTTTCTTGCTCACCCTTGACTCGCAGGTCCAGCGCCGTCCTCTTCTGCCTTGCTTTCTTCTTTGCGAGCTGCTCTACCCCAAGAGAGACACACGACTGAGCGACACCAACTCAGGGCACCTACAGCCAGGTGGGGGCTGAGGCTGGGCGCTGACACCGCCCCGCACCCCACAGCAAGGCCACCTTGCCTTCTTGCTCCCTGGCCCCTGCACAGCCCTTGCCACCAGCTCCGTCCCTTCGCAACAGCACAGCTGCCTGGCAGCTGCCCTGCAAAGACTTTCTTTGCCAGTTGGCCCCTGGCACTCAGTGCAACAACCGCACCAACTTCAAGACCCCGGCGAGACCAGAGCTGGCGGGCCCTCGCCCAGGCGGGATCCTCTTCCCCCACCTTTAGCTGACCCTTTCTGGGGGCTGGATGACAGAGGGAATCTCCCGAGAGATGTCCGCCCCCCTCCCCGACCCACTCGGGGGCCCAAAAGCCCGCCTCCCCTGCTCCCAGACCACCCCACCTCCCCAACCCCAGCCAACAGACCCTGCTCCCAGCTTACCAGCAGCCGCGGCTGAAGCCCTGGCTCGGGCCGGCGGACGCCACCTTGGCCGCGGAGGTCTGGGCCTCTGGGCACAGTTTCTAGGGGTGGAAGGGAGGGAGCAGCCCCAGGAAAAAGCTTCTGCCCTCCTTAGAGGGTTCTCCTCCTGGCCCGCTTGCTACAACAGCCCCAAGGGCAAAGCAGGGGACTTTCCTCACCCCAACTTACAGGGCTGTCCCCGCGGCTCCGTCCAGCAAAGGGCACCCCGCCTCTCTCTGGGGAGCAGTGGCGCCCCACGGCATGCACCCCGATGACGGGGCTGCCAGGCTGGCTGGCTGGCCAACACGGCATGAAGCCGCCAGGCAGAGCGCCAAACCCTCACAGCAGGGTCGGCTCGGGGGCTCCAAAGGCTCCGCAGCTCCCATCCAGGAGAGCCTTGCGGCACAAAGCCCGCTTCCAGGGGGCCAGCAGCGGGGCACCAGGGCCCTGGGTCCTCAGCCCTGGCTACAGGGAGCTCGAGGGGCTGCTGGCACAAAACGGCTCCCCCAAAATGCACGAGCATCAGCAAACACGCTCTCTCAGCAGCACACAAGGCAGCCAAACAGCCAGCCAGCCAGCCAGCGGAGCCTGGTGGCCAAAGGCCAGAAGAGCAGGCACCCCAGCCCCGCTTACGGGGCGGCTGCTCAGCTCCAGGGAAGCAGGAGGCCCACAAGGGCCAGGGATGCTCGTGCCCCACCTGAGCCCTGATTACAGGGAGGTGCCTGTGCCCAAAGGGATGTTCCCTCCTCCCTGGCTCCGCCAGCCCATCTTCCTCCTCCCGCTTGACTCGCAGGTCCAGCGCCATCCTCTTCTTTCCTCCTCCCTCTTGACTCGCAGTTCCAGCGCCGTCCTCTTCTTTCTTCCTCACCCTTGACTCGTAGGTCCAGCGCCGTCCTCTTCTTTCTTCCTCCCTCTTGACTCGCAGGTCCAGCACTGTCCTCTTCTTTCTTTCTCCCTCTTGACTCGCAGGTCCAGCGCCGTCCTCTTCTTTCTTCCTCCCTCTTGACTCGCAGGTCCAGCGCCGTCCTCTTCTTTCTTGCTCCCTCTCGACTCGCAGGTCCAGCACCGTCCTCTTCTTTCTTCCTCACCCTTGACTCGCAGGTCCAGCGCCGTCCTCTTCTGCCTTGCTTTCTTCTTTGCGAGCTGCTCTACCCCAAGAGAGACAAACACACGACTGAGCGACACCAACTCAGGGCACCTACAGCCAGGTGGGGGCTGAGGCTGGGCGCTGACACCGCCCCGCACCCCACAGCAAGGCCACCTTGCCTTCTTGCTCCCTGGCCCCTGCACAGCCCTTGCCACCAGCTCCGTCCCTTCGCAACAGCACAGCTGCCTGGCAGCTGCCCTGCAAAGACTTTCTTTGCCAGTTGGCCCCTGGCACTCAGTGCAACAACCGCACCAACTTCAAGACCCCGGCGAGACCAGAGCTGGCGGGCCCTCGCCCAGGCGGGATCCTCTTCCCCCACCTTTAGCTGACCCTTTCTGGGGGCTGGATGACAGAGGGAATCTCCCGAGAGATGTCCGCCCCCCTCCCCGACCCACTCAGGGGCCAAAAGCCCGCCTCCCCTGCTCCCAGACCACCCCACCTCCCCAACCCCAGCCAACAGACCCTGCTCCCAGCTTACCAGCAGCCGCGGCTGAAGCCCTGGCTCGGGCCGGCGGACGCCACCTTGGCCGCGGAGGTCTGGGCCTCTGGGCACAGTTTCTAGGGGTGGAAGGGAGGGAGCAGCCCCAGGAAAAAGCTTCTGCCCTCCTTAGAGGGTTCTCCTCCTGGCCCGCTTGCTACAACAGCCCCAAGGGCAAAGCAGGGGACTTTCCTCACCCCAACTTACAGGGCTGTCCCCGCGGCTCCGTCCAGCAAAGGGCACCCCGCCTCTCTCTGGGGAGCAGTGGCGCCCCACGGCATGCACCCCGATGACGGGGCTGCCAGGCTGGCTGGCTGGCCAACACGGCATGAAGCCGCCAGGCAGAGCGCCAAACCCTCACAGCAGGGTCGGCTCGGGGGCTCCAAAGGCTCCGCAGCTCCCATCCAGGAGAGCCTTGCGGCACAAAGCCCGCTTCCAGGGGGCCAGCAGCGGGGCACCAGGGCCCTGGGTCCTCAGCCCTGGCTACAGGGAGCTCGAGGGGCTGCTGGCACAAAACGGCTCCCCCAAAATGCACGAGCATCAGCAAACACACTCTCTCAGCAGCACACAAGGCAGCCAAACAGCCAGCCAGCCAGCCAGCGGAGCCTGGTGGCCAAAGGCCAGAAGAGCAGGCACCCCAGCCCCGCTTACGGGGCGGCTGCTCAGCTCCAGGGAAGCAGGAGGCCCACAAGGGCCAGGGATGCTCGTGCCCCACCTGAGCCCTGATTACAGGGAGGTGCCTGTGCCCAAAGGGATGTTCCCTCCTCCCTGGCTCCGCCGGCCCATCTTCCTCCTCCCTCTTGACTCGCAGGTCCAGCACCGTCCTCTTCTGCCTTGCTTTCTTCTTTGCGAGCTGCTCCATCCCAAGAGAGACAAACGGACGACTGAGCGACGCCAACCCCAGGCCCCTACAGCCCCCTGGGGCCTGATGCCACCCCGCACCCCACAGCAAGGACACCTTGCCTTCTCGGACCCTGCTCCCCATACAGGCCCTCCCCCCAACTCTGCCCCTCTGCTGCAGCAGAGCTTCCCAGCACACCCCTCACAAAGCACTTCTCGCGCTGAACCCCAGCTTCACCTGTTAGAAATTGCCACAGCTCAACACCAACTGCCACGCTCCTTACCTGTGGTTTGCGGAGCTGCAAGCTTGCTGTGCTTCACTCCACTAGCCGTGCACGGCCCTCTTCCGCCCGTCCAGGCAGCGCGAACTTGCCTACAGCTGCCGGCTGGAGCTTCAGCTTTAGGGTCACTTGCAGAAGCCCGCTTCGCATTAGCTCTCCACACCCATCCAATTGCACCACACAGGCAAAGTCAACTTCGCTCCCTACGCTACACCAAACTTGTACCTGTCCAAACAACAACTGTCCAACATCTACCTTCAAACCATCCACGGTTCGTCCTCTCACACTAAACTGCTTCCCTACTCGCTCTACGCCACCTCCTGGACCAGCCTTCACAAAGGAATCCGCTCGTCCTGCAAGAATGCTCCAACATCAGACAACGCCAACGTGAACACTTCCACAACAACACTCCAGCGTCAGACAGCTCCTGCATGAAAAACCTCGCTCTCTCCTTAAGAGCCCACCCTACGCTACCCGACGACCAACACACACTGGCCTCACCAAAGCCAAACACTACAACAACTAGTGCCAAGTTAAAATCGCATCTGCAGCGCAATGTCGTAGGTGTGAGCTAAGGCACAAGCGGGCTTGAAAGTTGCAGAGTGTACCCCCTATGGTGCACAATGTCATTTTCTTGGGGAATCGGTGCTCTCCCTGGACAAGTGGAGAAGCAGCGGCTGTTGAAAGGAAACGTGGCAATGGTTCTCCAGGTCTCCCAAGCTGAGGCTAACAAATTTTACCTGTGCTGTGCCCCAGGATCTGCTTGTCCACTTGCTCCTCTAACCAGTCAGGTGCTGCAGGAGAGACAGAAAGAGAGGGAGAAATCTTTAGGACAGGATTAACGACCTCAACATCCCTGTCCCCAAGCCTCCAGACATCCGAGGAGGCCTCATCAGGGTTTTCTCAATTTCCCCACTTTCCTGGGAGGCATGACTGCACAGTTTTCTGTCCTCAACATCTCCTTGACCCACCTGATATGCTTCAAGGTTCCGAACCCTGCATCCCTTCCTCGAGGTACCTCAGCAATTCCCTTAGAAACCACACCTCAGTGCCACCCCTCCCTCAACTACCTCAGCGATTCCCGACAAAGCCCCCCCCCGGTTCCATCCCCTCCCCAAGGTACCTCAGTGTTACTGGCAGAAGCCTCTGTGCTGTCGTCCCCTCGCTCAGGTATATCAGGCTTGCTAGCTGAAGCTAACTCTTCACTCACAGGTCCAGGGCCATGCAATTCTTTCTTCCTCCCTCTTGACTTGCACGTCCGGCACCGTCCTCTTCTTTCTTCCTCCCTCTTGACTCGCAGGTCCAGCGCCGTCCCCTTCTTTCTTCCTCACCCTTGACTCTCAGGTCCAGTGCCGTTGTCTTCTTTCTTCCTCACCCTTGACTCGCAGGTCCAGCGCCGTCCTCTCCTTTCTTCCTCACCCTTGACTCTCAGGTCCAGTGCCGTTGTCTTCTTTCTTCCTCACCCTTGACTCGCAGGTCCAGCGCCGTCCTCTTCTTTCTTGCTCCCTCTTGACTCGCAGGCCCAGCGCCGTCCTCTTCTTTCTTCCTCACCCTTGACTCGCAGGTCCAGCACCGTCCTCTTCTTTCTTCCTCACCCTTGACTCGCAGGTCCAGCGCCGTCCTCTTCTGCCTTGCTTTCTTCTTTGCGAGCTGCTCTACCCCAAGAGAGACAAACACACGACTGAGCGACACCAACCCAGGGCACCTACAGCCAGGTGGGGGCTGAGGCTGGGCGCTGACACCGCCCCGCACCCCACAGCAAGGCCACCTTGCCTTCTTGCCCCCTGGCCCCTGCACAGCCCTTGCCACCAGCTCCGTCCCTTCGCAACAGCACAGCTGCCTGGCAGCTGCCCTGCAAAGACTTTCTTTGCCAGTTGGCCCCTGGCACTCAGTGCAACAACCGCACCAACTTCAAGACCCCGGCGAGACCAGAGCTGGCGGGCCCTCGCCCAGGCGGGATCCTCTTCCCCCACCTTTAGCTGACCCTTTCTGGGGGCTGGATGACAGAGGGAATCTCCCGAGAGATGTCCGCCCCCCTCCCCGACCCACTCGGGGGCCCAAAAGCCCGCCTCCCCTGCTCCCAGACCACCCCACCTCCCCAACCCCAGCCAACAGACCCTGCTCCCAGCTTACCAGCAGCCGCGGCTGAAGCCCTGGCTCGGGCCGGCGGACGCCACCTTGGCCGCGGAGGTCTGGGCCTCTGGGCACAGTTTCTAGGGGTGGAAGGGAGGGAGCAGCCCCAGGAAAAAGCTTCTGCCCTCCTTAGAGGGTTCTCCTCCTGGCCCGCTTGCTACAACAGCCCCAAGGGCAAAGCAGGGGACTTTCCTCACCCCAACTTACAGGGCTGTCCCCGCGGCTCCGTCCAGCAAAGGGCACCCCGCCTCTCTCTGGGGAGCAGTGGCGCCCCACGGCATGCACCCCGATGACGGGGCTGCCAGGCTGGCTGGCTGGCCAACACGGCATGAAGCCGCCAGGCAGAGCGCCAAACCCTCACAGCAGGGTCGGCTCGGGGGCTCCAAAGGCTCCGCAGCTCCCATCCAGGAGAGCCTTGCGGCACAAAGCCCGCTTCCAGGGGGCCAGCAGCGGGGCACCAGGGCCCTGGGTCCTCAGCCCTGGCTACAGGGAGCTCGAGGGGCTGCTGGCACAAAACGGCTCCCCCAAAATGCACGAGCATCAGCAAACACACTCTCTCAGCAGCACACAAGGCAGCCAAACAGCCAGCCAGCCAGCCAGCGGAGCCTGGTGGCCAAAGGCCAGAAGAGCAGGCACCCCAGCCCCGCTTACGGGGCGGCTGCTCAGCTCCAGGGAAGCAGGAGGCCCACAAGGGCCAGGGATGCTCGTGCCCCACCTGAGCCCTGATTACAGGGAGGTGCCTGTGCCCAAAGGGATGTTCCCTCCTCCCTGGCTCCGCCGGCCCATCTTCCTCCTCCCTCTTGACTCGCAGGTCCAGCACCGTCCTCTTCTGCCTTGCTTTCTTCTTTGCGAGCTGCTCCATCCCAAGAGAGACAAACGGACGACTGAGCGACGCCAACCCCAGGCCCCTACAGCCCCCTGGGGGCTGACGCCGCCCCGCACCCCACAGCAAGGACACCTTGCCTTCTCGGACCCTGCTCCCCATACAGGCCCTCCCCCCAACTCTGCCCCTCTGCTGCAGCAGAGCTTCCCAGCACACCCCTCACAAAGCACTTCTCGCGCTGAACCCCAGCTTCACCTGTTAGAAATTGCCACAGCTCAACACCAACTGCCACGCTCCTTACCTGTGGTTTGCGGAGCTGCAAGCTTGCTGTGCTTCACTCCACTAGCCGTGCACGGCCCTCTTCCGCCCGTCCAGGCAGCGCGAACTTGCCTACAGCTGCCGGCTGGAGCTTCAGCTTTAGGGTCACTTGCAGAAGCCCGCTTCGCATTAGCTCTCCACACCCATCCAATTGCACCACACAGGCAAAGTCAACTTCGCTCCCTACGCTACACCAAACTTGTACCTGTCCAAACAACAACTGTCCAACATCTACCTTCAAACCATCCACGGTTCGTCCTCTCACACTAAACTGCTTCCCTACTCGCTCTACGCCACCTCCTGGACCAGCCTTCACAAAGGAATCTGCTCGTCCTGCAAGAATGCTCCAACATCAGACAACGCCAACGTGAACACTTCCACAACAACACTCCAGCGTCAGACAGCTCCTGCATGAAAAACCTCGCTCTCTCCTTAAGAGCCCACCCTACGCTACCTGACGACCAACACACACTGGCCTCACCAAAGCCAAACACTACAACAACTAGTGCCAAGTTAAAATCGCATCTGCAGCGCAATGTCGTAGGTGTGAGCTAAGGCACAAGCGGGCTTGAAAGTTGCAGAGTGTACCCCCTATGGTGCACAATGGCATTTTCTTGGGGAATCGGTGCTCTCCCTGGACAAGTGGAGAAGCAGCGGCTGTTGAAAGGAAACGTGGCAATGGTTCTCCAGGTCTCCCAAGCTGAGGCTAACAAATTTTACCTGTGCTGTGCCCCAGGATCTGCTTGTCCACTTGCTCCTCTAACCAGTCAGGTGCTGCAGGAGAGACAGAAAGAGAGGGAGAAATCTTTAGGACAGGATTAACGACCTCAACATCCCTGTCCCCAAGCCTCCAGACATCCGAGGAGGCCTCATCAGGGTTTTCTCAATTTCCCCACTTTCCTGGGAGGCATGACTGCAGTTTTCTGTCCTCAACATCTCCTTGACCCACCTGATATGCTTCAAGGTTCCGAACCCTGCATCCCTTCCTCGAGGTACCTCAGCAATTCCCTTAGAAACCACACCTCAGTGCCACCCCTCCCTCAACTACCTCAGCGATTCCCGACAAAGCCCCCCCCCGGTCCCATCCCCTCCCCAAGGTACCTCAGTGTTACTGGCAGAAGCCTCTGTGCTGTCGTCCCCTCGCTCAGGTATATCAGGCTTGCTAGCTGAAGCTAACTCTTCACTCACAGGTCCAGGGCCGTGCAATTCTTTCTTCCTCCCTCTTGACTTGCACGTCCGGCACCGTCCTCTTCTTTCTTCCTCCCTCTTGACTCGCAGGTCCAGCGCCGTCCCCTTCTTTCTTCCTCACCCTTGACTCTCAGGTCCAGTGCCGTTGTCTTCTTTCTTCCTCACCCTTGACTCTCAGGTCCAGTGCAGTTGTCTTCTTTCTTCCTCACCCTTGACTCGCAGGTCCAGCGCCGTCCTCTTCTTTCTTGCTCCCTCTTGACTCGCAGGCCCAGCGCCGTCCTCTTCTTTCTTCCTCCCTCTTGACTCGCAGGTCCAGCGCCGTCCTCTTCTTTCTTGCTCCCTCTTGACTCGCAGGTCCAGCACCGTCCTCTTCTTTCTTCCTCACCCTTGACTCGCAGGTCCAGCGCCGTCCTCTTCTGCCTTGCTTTCTTCTTTGCGAGCTGCTCTACCCCAAGAGAGACAAACACACGACTGAGCGACACCAACTCAGGGCACCTACAGCCAGGTGGGGGCTGAGGCTGGGCGCTGACACCGCCCCGCACCCCACAGCAAGGCCACCTTGCCTTCTTGCCCCCTGGCCCCTGCACAGCCCTTGCCACCAGCTCCGTCCCTTCGCAACAGCACAGCTGCCTGGCAGCTGCCCTGCAAAGACTTTCTTTGCCAGTTGGCCCCTGGCACTCAGTGCAACAACCGCACCAACTTCAAGACCCCGGCGAGACCAGAGCTGGCGGGCCCTCGCCCAGGCGGGATCCTCTTCCCCCACCTTTAGCTGACCCTTTCTGGGGGCTGGATGACAGAGGGAATCTCCCGAGAGATGTCCGCCCCCTCCCCGACCCACTCAGGGGCCAAAAGCCCGCCTCCCCTGCTCCCAGACCACCCCACCTCCCCAACCCCAGCCAACAGACCCTGCTCCCAGCTTACCAGCAGCCGCGGCTGAAGCCCTGGCTCGGGCCGGCGGACACCACCTTGGCCGCGGAGGTCTGGGCCTCTGGGCACAGTTTCTAGGGGTGGAAGGGAGGGAGCAGCCCCAGGAAAAAGCTTCTGCCCTCCTTAGAGGGTTCTCCTCCTGGCCCGCTTGCTACAACAGCCCCAAGGGCAAAGCAGGGACTTTCCTCACCCCAACTTACAGGGCTGTCCCCGCGGCTCCGTCCAGCAAAGGGCACCCCGCCTCTCTCTGGGGAGCAGTGGCGCCCCACGGCATGCACCCCGATGACGGGGCTGCCAGGCTGGCTGGCTGGCCAACACGGCATGAAGCCGCCAGGCAGAGCGCCAAACCCTCACAGCAGGGTCGGCTCGGGGGCTCCAAAGGCTCCGCAGCTCCCATCCAGGAGAGCCTTGCGGCACAAAGCCCGCTTCCAGGGGGCCAGCAGCGGGGCACCAGGGCCCTGGGTCCTCAGCCCTGGCTACAGGGAGCTCGAGGGGCTGCTGGCACAAAACGGCTCCCCCAAAATGCACGAGCATCAGCAAACACACTCTCTCAGCAGCACACAAGGCAGCCAAACAGCCAGCCAGCCAGCCAGCGGAGCCTGGTGGCCAAAGGCCAGAAGAGCAGGCACCCCAGCCCCACTTACGGGGCGGCTGCTCAGCTCCAGGGAAGCAGGAGGCCCACAAGGGCCAGGGATGCTCGTGCCCCACCTGAGCCCTGATTACAGGGAGGTGCCTGTGCCCAAAGGGATGTTCCCTCCTCCCTGGCTCCGCCGGCCCATCTTCCTCCTCCCTCTTGACTCGCAGGTCCAGCACCGTCCTCTTCTGCCTTGCTTTCTTCTTTGCGAGCTGCTCCATCCCAAGAGAGACAAACGGACGACTGAGCGACGCCAACCCCAGGCCCCTACAGCCCCCTGGGGGCTGACGCCGCCCCGCACCCCACAGCAAGGACACCTTGCCTTCTCGGACCCTGCTCCCCATACAGGCCCTCCCCCCAACTCTGCCCCTCTGCTGCAGCAGAGCTTCCCAGCACACCCCTCACAAAGCACTTCTCGCGCTGAACCCCAGCTTCACCTGTTAGAAATTGCCACAGCTCAACACCAACTGCCACGCTCCTTACCTGTGGTTTGCGGAGCTGCAAGCTTGCTGTGCTTCACTCCACTAGCCGTGCACGGCCCTCTTCCGCCCGTCCAGGCAGCGCGAACTTGCCTACAGCTGCCGGCTGGAGCTTCAGCTTTAGGGTCACTTGCAGAAGCCCGCTTCGCATTAGCTCTCCACACCCATCCAATTGCACCACACAGGCAAAGTCAACTTCGCTCCCTACGCTACACCAAACTTGTACCTGTCCAAACAACAACTGTCCAACATCTACCTTCAAACCATCCACGGTTCGTCCTCTCACACTAAACTGCTTCCCTACTCGCTCTACGCCACCTCCTGGACCAGCCTTCACAAAGGAATCCGCTCGTCCTGCAAGAATGCTCCAACATCAGACAACGCCAACGTGAACACTTCCACAACAACACTCCAGCGTCAGACAGCTCCTGCATGAAAAACCTCGCTCTCTCCTTAAGAGCCCACCCTACGCTACCCGACGACCAACACACACTGGCCTCACCAAAGCCAAACACTACAACAACTAGTGCCAAGTTAAAATCGCATCTGCAGCGCAATGTCGTAGGTGTGAGCTAAGGCACAAGCGGGCTTGAAAGTTGCAGAGTGTACCCCCTATGGTGCACAATGGCATTTTCTTGGGGAATCGGTGCTCTCCCTGGACAAGTGGAGAAGCAGCGGCTGTTGAAAGGAAACGTGGCAATGGTTCTCCAGGTCTCCCAAGCTGAGGCTAACAAATTTTACCTGTGCTGTGCCCCAGGATCTGCTTGTCCACTTGCTCCTCTAACCAGTCAGGTGCTGCAGGAGAGACAGAAAGAGAGGGAGAAATCTTTAGGACAGGATTAACGACCTCAACATCCCTGTCCCCAAGCCTCCAGACATCCGAGGAGGCCTCATCAGGGTTTTCTCAATTTCCCCACTTTCCTGGGAGGCATGACTGCACAGTTTTCTGTCCTCAACATCTCCTTGACCCACCTGATATGCTTCAAGGTTCCGAACCCTGCATCCCTTCCTCGAGGTACCTCAGCAATTCCCTTAGAAACCACACCTCAGTGCCACCCCTCCCTCAACTACCTCAGCGATTCCCGACAAAGCCCCCCCCCGGTTCCATCCCCTCCCCAAGGTACCTCAGTGTTACTGGCAGAAGCCTCTGTGCTGTCGTCCCCTCGCTCAGGTATATCAGGCTTGCTAGCTGAAGCTAACTCTTCACTCACAGGTCCAGGGCCATGCAATTCTTTCTTCCTCCCTCTTGACTTGCACGTCCGGCACCGTCCTCTTCTTTCTTCCTCCCTCTTGACTCGCAGGTCCAGCGCCGTCCTCTTCTTTCTTCCTCCCTCTTGACTCGCAGGTCCAGCGCCGTCCTCTTCTTTCTTGCTCCCTCTTGACTCGCAGGTCCAGCGCCGTCCTCTTCTTTCTTCCTCACCCTTGACTCGCAGGTCCAGCGCCGTCCTCTTCTTTCTTCCTCCCTCTTGACTCGCAGGTCCAGCACCGTCCTCTTCTTTCTTCCTCCCTCTTGACTCGCAGGTCCAGCACCGTCCTCTTCTTTCTTTCTCCCTCTTGACTCGCAGGTCCAGCGCCATCCTCTTCTTTCTTCCTCATCCTTGACTCACAGATCCAGCGCCGTCCTCTTCTTTCTTTCTCACCCTTGACTCGCAGGTCCAACGCCGTCCTCTTCTTTCTTCCTCCCTCTTGACTCGCAGGTCCAGCGCCGTCCTCTTCTTTCTTCCTCCCTCTTGACTCGCAGGTCCAGCGCCGTCCTCTTCTTTCTTGCTCCCTCTCGACTCGCAGGTCCAGCACCGTCCTCTTCTTTCTTCCTCACCCTTGACTCGCAGGTCCAGCGCCGTCCTCTTCTGCCTTGCTTTCTTCTTTGCGAGCTGCTCTACCCCAAGAGAGACAAACACACGACTGAGCGACACCAACTCAGGGCACCTACAGCCAGGTGGGGGCTGAGGCTGGGCGCTGACACCGCCCCGCACCCCACAGCAAGGCCACCTTGCCTTCTTGCTCCCTGGCCCCTGCACAGCCCTTGCCACCAGCTCCGTCCCTTCGCAACAGCACAGCTGCCTGGCAGCTGCCCTGCAAAGACTTTCTTTGCCAGTTGGCCCCTGGCACTCAGTGCAACAACCGCACCAACTTCAAGACCCCGGCGAGACCAGAGCTGGCGGGCCCTCGCCCAGGCGGGATCCTCTTCCCCCACCTTTAGCTGACCCTTTCTGGGGGCTGGATGACAGAGGGAATCTCCCGAGAGATGTCCGCCCCCCTCCCCGACCCACTCAGGGGCCAAAAGCCCGCCTCCCCTGCTCCCAGACCACCCCACCTCCCCAACCCCAGCCAACAGACCCTGCTCCCAGCTTACCAGCAGCCGCGGCTGAAGCCCTGGCTCGGGCCGGCGGACGCCACCTTGGCCGCGGAGGTCTGGGCCTCTGGGCACAGTTTCTAGGGGTGGAAGGGAGGGAGCAGCCCCAGGAAAAAGCTTCTGCCCTCCTTAGAGGGTTCTCCTCCTGGCCCGCTTGCTACAACAGCCCCAAGGGCAAAGCAGGGGACTTTCCTCACCCCAACTTACAGGGCTGTCCCCGCGGCTCCGTCCAGCAAAGGGCACCCCGCCTCTCTCTGGGGAGCAGTGGCGCCCCACGGCATGCACCCCGATGACGGGGCTGCCAGGCTGGCTGGCTGGCCAACACGGCATGAAGCCGCCAGGCAGAGCGCCAAACCCTCACAGCAGGGTCGGCTCGGGGGCTCCAAAGGCTCCGCAGCTCCCATCCAGGAGAGCCTTGCGGCACAAAGCCCGCTTCCAGGGGGCCAGCAGCGGGGCACCAGGGCCCTGGGTCCTCAGCCCTGGCTACAGGGAGCTCGAGGGGCTGCTGGCACAAAACGGCTCCCCCAAAATGCACGAGCATCAGCAAACACACTCTCTCAGCAGCACACAAGGCAGCCAAACAGCCAGCCAGCCAGCCAGCGGAGCCTGGTGGCCAAAGGCCAGAAGAGCAGGCACCCCAGCCCCGCTTACGGGGCGGCTGCTCAGCTCCAGGGAAGCAGGAGGCCCACAAGGGCCAGGGATGCTCGTGCCCCACCTGAGCCCTGATTACAGGGAGGTGCCTGTGCCCAAAGGGATGTTCCCTCCTCCCTGGCTC